TGCTGTCAGAACGGCTATACTTGGTGACTTCAGTGTCGTTGACACAGGGGTCATTGAGCACGGAAGTCGTTCTATTCCAGTGAATTAAGTTGCAGTGTCTAGCGGGCACGCGAGCCTCGTTTAGACAATAATCGGGAGCTGTAATTGTTCTTAATCTTAATGGGGAGTGTAACGGGGTTACACGTACCCTGGTAACGTGGGGATGCCATCTTGTCACACAAGATGGGAATGGTGTGACTGCACCCAAACCAGAAAACGGTATGTAGCTAGGTAGCCAGTAGTTATTTATGTATTTAAATTTTTCTATATATATTAGTAAAACCTATACATTTAAAATCATGCGGTTTAGCCGCAGATAAAAATAAATAAAAATCAGTTTTGAATTCAAACCAAAGATTGTATTAGCCTTGGTTAAGGTAGTAACTACTCCTGGAGTTGGCGGATTACGATCCGCTACACTCGTATTGGTTCTTGTAAAAAATGAAAGTTCGGTGACCTAAATTACGCTTTCTCAAGCGCTAAGCTACGGCAGCCCCGCTGCAACGTCCGACGCGGATTATACTCATAGATCTTTTGACCGTATCGTGTAATAAGAAGAGAAGAACTCCGAGCTTAGTAGATATCCGAAGCGTTCGCATTTGCGCAATGCCATTGAAAGACCATAAGTGTGTCAAGTGTGCATATCATCTTCGTAAGAGAGATGTTAAGGGGAATGTGATGTCAATGTGCACATACATATAGCACTATTGACCTTTGGATTAAGAGAACAATACAAAAGTCTTGATACTTGTAAGGATGCTGGGTAGGTCCGTGGGACACATGTGTTGCTATCCTCTCGTTATCGGATACACTAATGATAATAGTGAAACTAAAATAGTCAATATTGTATAGACTAGACTTAACACTAAATAATGTCCTTTGTGAAATTGGAGAGCAGCCTTGTTCGAAAGATTTCGCTTCCGTGCGAAATTATCTTCTGTGCGTTCGTGAAGGCGGACTATTTACTGAGATGCACGGCAACCGGGTTGAAAATATTCTATACGCTGAACACTCGTGTGCCTCCCACGCTACAAATAGCTCAAGATTACAAGATTTTCAATGAAGATGGCTAAAAATGATCCGTAATTTTGGGTATAGCACTTTTGAGCTAAACCCTCATGAAGACTTATAACAGCCCTCTATTTCTGCCAAGAGTTTTCTCTCAAATCAAAAGCTCTAAAATTTGTACAGGCTCTGGCGGTGAGATTTCACAGCGACAAGAAACACCCACGCTTCATGTCAAGAAGTTCGACGAAGACAATGCAGATATCAAAATTTTATGTTTACCGAGCGTGAAAGACCAACAGCAAGTTAAAGGTTTTGGCGCATATTTAGCTCTGTATCAAACCAACTCTAGAAACTAGGAACTTATGTCTGTGCCCGTTCGCACAGGCTTTTCACATCCGTGGATCAATCTCATCACTATAAAACTTGTGACTCCCCTCAGTCTGACCACTCGGAGGGTCAATTATCAACCATCAGCTTTTGGTTCTACAGTAAACCATAGTTTCGTTGTCGAAAATATCTCCAAAAGTATGCAAACACCCACGTTGTTAGTTAGTCTACGATGTTAGCGGAAGCCTGAACAAATTGATTCTCGGCACAGATATGGCTTTGCTGTCGTCATCAGGTGGCGTGTTGACGACAGTTTCATAATGGAAATTCGCGAGATCGGTCGGGACTTACATTTTGGCAGGTTTCACGTTGCAGTCCATACGTGTATGCGCGCATGTACATATGCAGGTACAAAAGACCTATGGAAGTGCTATTGTTACTGGACAAGCTCAGTGCACCATCCAAATTACATCAGACATTAAAGTCATGTCGTTGGAGCATGACATTCTTGCGCTTGTCTCACTCTTTCGTAAAGCACAGATCGATGCCATGGAACAACGACTTCAATTGAAGTCTCAGTCAGTTCATATTAATATCCGTGTCTTTGTAAAAAATTGGTCATGCATACCTGACGTACTTGTTACTACACTTTGCGCATCTTTGGGATGATACGGGGAAGCATTAGCAAACATGATTTGCTTTTCAATTCACATCCACACAAAGTTGTCATTAGGACGATAAGTGGCATTTTGGTGGCCATCATCAACATATTTAGAACACAGATTGGGTGTCCACGTAGCATCACCCGACAACCACTCTATCCCCTTGTCATGAAAAGAGCTCACCCTTCAGCTACCTAATGTTGATCGAGTTGATATTCCGACTTATCTGCAGCTGAAGTTACAGCCCGAAGCGACGCCAAACGAAATCGTCTGGCAACGCCAGGTTGATGAACGCTGTATGTTTACTATGCTAGGAAATGGTTCTAAGCATTACCTACTGCGTATTCGACGAAAACAGCGAAACAGACGGCTTTGCAACGCCGGCATTTCAAGAAATAAAATAACAAAAATAATTGCCAGGCCTAGCCACCGATTTTACATCAATCCTGACCATTTGTTCAGGTATTAACCGAGTATGAAATATCCATGAAATGTTCTTAGTGCTAACGTCGCACGTAGGACACCATGATTGATCTCAGGACCAACGTAGTTACCCCAAGTACACCTCAAAATCCAGCTTATTGTCTTCATGTTTTCGTGACGCTATGAAAATCTATATATTCATGTGAGAGCTACTAAACGTTGCTGAAGCGTTGAATCAACTCTCTGAAGGTATTCATTGTTGGAGCGGGTATTATACCTATGCATCCATTTCTGATAGCCTATACTTTCCATTGTCCAATTGTACCCAGTGCACTCGGGATATGTTGTACAACAGCACGTTTTCTATAGAAATTGGAATCTGTGCTGGGGCTAGACAAATTTATTTATTGCAAATCGTAACCTTCCACCCAGTGGACTTTCATAAGCCGATTCGCCAAAACTATATATTCAAATCGCACACTTCGCATGATTAGTGCTCTGCCATTCAACTTGAACTTATTTTGGTAGCCATAACCCTGTCATTTTTATGAAGGTTGGAAGCTCGTTGATATGAGTTACGAGAATGAACAGTTTGTTTTGAGATCAGGAAATATCAACACACTTCGGTAGTGTGTTTAGTGGGAAGCGCAGTACTGAAGCGTGTGCTTTTTATAGGAAATAGCGTACAGGACCTTCTGAGAACACATCGTCACCTCGATCTTCCAGAAAACAGTCTGCCGATTTGATGCTTATCAAGTGTATGCAGAGCCAGATTTCTCATTGAGAGATATTATGAAAGGTAAGGTAGTAGTTATGGTATTCAATCGGCATAAACGATTTTTATAGTAGCTATCGCGTGTGCAATTAAAATTAGAATTTGTATACTGGACACCCTGAGGTAAAAATGACGTAAGTATGACGTTAGCGAATAGAACCACATAAGAATCCTCTAATGTACGAGTGAGCCAATACCGTAATCAGAGTATTCTCTATCAGAAATTTGACAATAATGCTGATCATCAGGCAAAACGGCAATTATCAATGTAAATACATTTTGCCTTCGTCATTCTTCTTTTCAAACCAGTCACAGATGGGAAATGTAATCGTGTTTTTTTTCTATCGTCCTCACAAACGGATACAGATCTCATGTGAAATCACCAGAAATGGATCCCGACTCCATATGGCCAGTAATATTACAAACTTCAACAAATTTAAGTGTGCCGCTGAGAAACATATTACATACAACGCCATCATAGGAATGGCTACATGAAAGCTAATCCAAGAATAAGATCTACCGAATATTCCAAACAACTAGACTTTGATAGTGTAGCAAAGTTAAGTAAGATTTAATGATTTCAAGAGTAACAAGGTAATCAATTCTTTAGGATTACCTGGCAGAAAAGAAATATTGAGTCAAGCTTTAAGTATCTATTGAGTTAAAATGATCGGCAAAAACATAAGGCTGCAAGCTTTTTCCTTCTGTAGTAGCACCTTCGGCACAAACGACCACTTTTACCTTGAACTAAGTCTCGTTTTGTTTGCATGAAGAGACAGGTCAAAGACCATATATATTCTTTCAATGAACAAACGTAAACGCAGATTGTCTTAATACATCCAGCAGTCTACACGTTCAAAGTCCTTTACCTTCATTTGCTCCATCGCACCAGTTGTTGCTCGATCGTCTGAGGTTACCTTTACCTTTTGCTCCATCGTACCGGTTGTTGTTCGTGCGCGAGTAGCCACTCATTGTTATCATAGAATTTTGCAACACAATGATCACGAGATCCAGTTAGATGACGCCACTCAAAACAACAAACCACCAACGCAGCGATTTGTGGTTCCAAAGCCTTCCAATAAGTTCGCCAGCAACTAAAAGGTGCATTGAAGCTGTTCTCCGGCTCAATCGCGTATTTATACGTCCAAACACGATTGTCGTGAAATTGCGTTTGACAGGATCACTTTGTACGACGTGAAGATTGCAGATCGCTGTATATTGCCGTCCATTCCATTTTTGTCCCGGCCTAAGGTGCTGCATATTTGTTGTGCGTAAAAAATTCGCGAAAGTTCAAAACGCTATTCGCACGCACGTCGTGTATTGGTCTTGTTGTCAATGAGACGAAATGTTCCCGGATAGAAGCCGTGACCATTCGCCAACCATCGTTCTTGATTGTTCAGGTGCCAAATCGCCGACGTTTTCGAGAGCGCAACATCTGAGCTACGTAATCATGTAAATACGGTCATTTTGTCCATCACATCATAAAAAAACAACGCGATAACCATTTGCAAGCACTCTAGATCGTTTTACAAAACAAGGTCGACCAAAGGCAGCAGACACCGAAATTCTGCTTTTCGTGTTGGGAACTGATGAAAAAAATGCAGGTTATTCAACTTGTCTGAGTTATATTTCCAGTGTTCGAAATGGCTGTGATTGCTCGTCTGCATCTAACTCAAAGCTCGCTTCTCCACATCTTAGATGATGCAATGCTAGCGATAAAGTCCAGTAAACGAATTTCTGGATGAAGCATCTATCAACTGTCACACAATCAACATGAGCCGTGATTTCTCGTCTTGCAGATCAATGTGATAAAAGTGTAACCTCATCGCAGCGTAAGGGTCCTCTATAACTGGACAGACACGTTTCATGGTTTTAGTATAAGTGAAGAGCCGAACTGAGCTGAGCTTGAGCATAACGCTGTCGCCAGATACTTTGTATAACTTTCCGCCGGTATCTACAAGACAGGAAGACAAACATTTCTATCACGCGCAATCGAGTTTTGACCTCGTTTGTCGCGCTAAACATACTTGCTGAAAGCTACTAACAACGATTTAATGTTTGACCATTCGATAAGAAACGTCCGATCTGCAGAGTACCGCGTATAAGTATACGAAAGCATGAAATGATGCTGGACAAGTCTCGGCTAATAATTAGCAGTTTGTAAAGACATACAAGTTTGTCGATGATAAAGCCATCGACGCCCTTGACGCTGGAATATAACAACCATGAATTTGGCAGCGACTGCACGCTCGGTATTAATGCTACAATTTCTTTTTTGGACACGATACTGGATGATACCACACATCACGATTTGTAATTTGATTGTAAATTGTGCCAATCATTTTTCTGACATAAGTAAAAGTTGAGCTGCTGGTAGCTGTCCAGTACGTATAAGTCAAGTGCCGTAGATCCAGAGGTTTATATCAGGTAGTGGTGTCACCAAAGATTGACTCGCTCGACATCTCCGCTGCTATCGACGAGCGAACAGACTCTTTCCCAAATCCAATTTCCTGTTCACTTAAAGATCGGCATCGCATCGCCGACTGGATTTTTGCATTCACTTCAACAGAGCAAAGTGATCCGATGCCCATAAAAGTGTCTTTCTTAAGAAAATCGTGCCTGATTTCTTTAATATCAGTTTCGGGATTCATTCGAAGCCAGGCTGCAAGCCGTTCCTGTTCCTTTACAAGCTGACATTGTTTATGAGTTTGAAGATATGTATTCTTCTTCTTCTTACATCTCGATCTGATAGGGTTCACTTTATAAGTTTCGACAATCGCAGTATCCGTGACAATCGATGATAACTCAGTCGTTGTAGGCTGTAGATAAGTCCCTGCTCTGTAAGGTTGTCGCTGCAATTGCTCTGTAGCTACAACTTTGACACTGTGTATATTTTGTTTTGGCGACCGCTTGTCATCGAGCCGTTTTAATCTCTCTCGTAATTTTAAGATACATTTCGCTGCTCGTTTGTTCGGTGATCCTAGCGATGGTGTAGCGGCTTTCGGTTGTCCGAGTTGTTGACGATATGGCGATTTCTGAAGGTTCGACAGTTCCATGTTGTTGATCCGGATCAGCGAATCTACCCGTTCTTCAGGTTGCTTCCACTTTCGTCGGGGATTATTATTCATTACGTCCATGTTGATGAGACAGTGGAAATCCTCAATAATCTTAATAGCAAAGCAATGGCGACCATTGCGACTGACGGAGTATTTTCGTTCCCAAAGATGGAATTGTTGTCATATCAAACGAAAGTGATAACGATCAAAACAATAAAACGGATAAAACTGCTATATATAGATAAAACTGCTATATATATTTACGTTGAAGCTTCATTAAAGTTATGTTTACATTCGCTATTGACGCGCGAAATATAGAAGACGACATTGAAGATGGGAGATGCATTGTATGGGCTTCTATAAATATCTCGCTTTTTTTACGCTCGATGTGACGATGCTAAGCTTTTGCAGTGTTGTGAGGTAGACTGAAGACGTCTCTCGCACTAGATCCTTAGGATTTGGTTATTGCCACCTGTCACGATACTTGTAAGCTCTGCACCACCGGATGGCTATTGTCGCCTTCTTGCAACTCTCTTTCAGATGGTGAAGAGAGAAGTAAGCGACTTGCACGATTGTAACGCAAAGGAACGGCAGCTCCCATTTTTCGCCATTCCTCTTTTCCGCTGTTCGAGCCGAGGACGAGAGCATTAAGTGCGATGGAAGTGTTTTTTGCGGGCTTTAATGCCGAGGAACTGGCAATGATGCAGGAACTATTGAGACTTTTATTGGAAGACGACGATGTGCACCAGCCAACACCTGGACAGGAAGGCCAGACTCTGCTTAACGAATTAGCAGGTGGTATGACAGTGAACGACTTTGGCGACTATCAATGGGGATTGAGTGCTCCAAACGGTATTGCATGGAATGCACCGCCTGCCATGATGGCTATCTCGCCACAGTACCCGACACAAACGTCTAGAATCCGCACAAATAGCCACTTTGGAAATGACGATGAGCCCATGCTCAAACGTGGCCGCATGGAAGTCGCGCCGACGATGCGAGCATCAGTGAATTGCAAATCGTTTCCTCAAGGCTCAGGAGCGGGACATTTCTACTATTAGGCACGCAAGGAGCTTATGCAGGTGCAGTGCGGAGTGAACGCATGCACTGAGCTCACGTGCCAGAACAGACATTTATTTAATCGCAATGAATGTAGTCGCGAAAATATTGTTTTTGTTTGGTGTTCTTGTCTTTGGTGCAGGGTGTGAGGACCTTATGGTCGAAGTCGAAGATGGCGGAGGGATATGTGCTACAGTGGGTGACTCGAAAAAAATCACTTTGAAAACAGACCACTTACCTGTAATTCACGCCTCGTACATTTCAAACTTCTCAAGCGATATCATGCTTGGCAATTGTGTACATTCGATAAGCTACTTTCAGTGATAACAGTATAAAAAAGAAGCACTTGCAGCGATGCTGTTAAACAAAACCTACTAGCAACAAAATCTTGGTATCAAATGGCTAAACAAACTGATGCCATACATTTGATTATCTTATGATTGTGCTTGACTTGCGCCATGCAAGCACGAACCTCGGCACCAGGCATTGATACAGCCATAGACATGTGAAACGCATTGGAAGGAAAACAATTTTAGTGCTTACAAAAGCTGCTAAGCTCACCTTTGTTCCTATCAACATTCGAGAAAACAGTTGGACTATTACTAACTATTGCAGTTTTTGAAGTTCGGTTGTAATTAAGATGATGGGTGATCTTAATAAGAGCGATAAATTTCGCAACACGCATAATAATGTTGAGTTCTGATCTTCAATGCTCACCTATTGCACATTTGCGAAGGATGTTGTGACTCTCTTAAACAAGTTCTTGCTTGATCAATCTAGCGATTGTACTGAGCTGAATATTACTCGTACCGCCGTAAATTGTACCAACTTTGCAGTCTCGATAGAATTTTTCTGCTAGAAGTTGTTTCGAGAAGCCAACACCACCTAATAATTCGATGCACTTCGATGACGTTCGCTCTGCCACACGAGACGCGTGTAGCTTGGCCATACACGATGCCTTGACAAATTCATGTCCAGCGTCCTTGAGTCGAGCGGCGTTGTAGATAAGCAGTCGTGCGCTTGCAAGATCCACAGCTAGTTCAGCGTATTGATGTTGCACTGCCTGAAAGTCGCCAATTACACGACCAAACTGCTTCCGCTCGAAGAGATAAGGCATCGCATGCCGGTAAGCTCCTTCTGCAATACCAAGTTGTTGCGCTGCAATACCAATCCGCCCTTCATTGAGTTGACCAATAGCAATAGCATAACCTTGGCCCACTTTGCCAAGCACCTTTTCCTTCGAAATTTTGACATCTTCAAGAATGACAGAGGACGTAGATGATGCGTTGAGTCCGAGCTTCTTCTCTGGAGGTCCAAATGAAAGACCAGGCGTACCACGCTCCACAATGAAGCAAGTGATACCTTTATATCCTACGGACGAATCCACAGTAGCCATGACCAAAAACACATCAGCATGCGCGACGTTCGAAATCCACATTTTCTCGCCATTCAAAGTATAATAGCTTCCATCAGCTGAAATGTCAGCTTTTGTCTTAAGTGAAAAGGCGTCGCTACCAGCTTCAGCTTCAGTCAAACAAAAGCTCCCCACTGTGTTTGTCGATAAACGTGGCAGATATTCTTCTCGCTGCTTTTCAGTACCGTAGCGTAAAATCACGTTGCTTACGACAGTGTTCTGTAAATCACACAAGAGGCCAACACTCGCGTCAACGCGAGATAACTCCTCGATAGTTAGAATCAAGCTCATGAATGATGCTCCCACTCCTCCGTATTCCATTGGAATCTGCACCGATAGCAGACCATTTTCAAAAAGTCCTTTGATCACTTCAGGTGTCATCTCACCTGCTTCGTCCATACTACGAACACTTGGTTGAATCACATCGGCAGCAAAGCGAGTGACTGACTCTTTGAACATTTCTTCTTCATCAGTCAAGATCGTGAGGGGCATAGGCAATGCTGTAAGCGAGTCACTAGTTGTTATTATGTTTCTATTCCATTGACGAGCTCCAATCACAGCTGCCTTCGAAGCTTGACGTTGCATTTGGTTCAACACGTTGCGTAACATCATAGAAGAAAGCAAATAGTAAAGTGAAGGTCCCTCCTTCGACTTGGTGTGTGATCTATGATTGGCTATCTTCAAGCTGCATCAAATCTGGCAAAATAGATGCATGACTTACTTCAACTAGCATTTGAGAATTAATAGTTTACTCTTAATTATGTTTGCTACATCTCATTTAAGTGTATTTGATGTAACATCACATTTCATCAGATCGAGTCCACACAATTAACTTATCAATGTCCCTCGTCCGTCGTCTTGTTAGCTCTTCCCGCTCCGTGCAGACGTGGCATTTGCCCATAAACAGTTGCTCTTCCTACGAGCAACAGAAACCTACGCAAACACTGTCTCTACGAGCTTTCCACGCATCTCCACAACGTGAAAATACAGCGCTGATCGCTGGCTTAGGTGTTGCTGGTGCCGCATTGAGTGCCAAGTACGCGCTACAGGTCTGGAATGCGTACAAGAGCCGACCAAAGAGCGAACAGATAAGCTCATGGAAGTATCGTAATTTCTACGATGGTCCGTTTGAGGAAAAAATGACGAGACGCGAGGCTGCACTCATTTTGGGCGTGCGTGAAAGCGCTTCAGAGGAGAGAATTCGCAATGCACACCGAAAACTACTGATTCTGAATCATCCTGATACGGGTGGCTCAACATTTTTAGCAACAAAGATTAACCAAGCTAAGGAATTGTTGCTTAATGGGGGCAAGTAAACTGTAGCATCTCTATAATAGACTCATCATTACAAGACCAATGTGTTGAAAGTAGTGCTTTACCGAATGTTATCAGGCAGAGGTAAAACGGGTAATGGAGTTGAAAAAGTAGTGGGTACGTTAAGACCAATAGTTTGGTGCTGAAGACGTGCGAGCTTGTCTGCATTCTTATACGTGAAGGGAATTTGGGTCATAAGTTGATCCACAATAGACGCAAAGCTCCGTTCAAATTCCGTTTGTAAAGGAGACACTTTAGCAAATGAACGAGGCGATACATCTGTTTCTATGGGTAAAGACAAATCAACTTTCGTCATGGGAAGTTCAGTGTCTGATGATAAAGGAGGTAAGAAGTTGTCGTTTGCAGTGTCCAATTGATCGAGATCAAAGTGATGCTGAAAAAGTTCAGTCGAGATGAGAGCAGCTGGAGCGGACACATGCGGAGTATTGGGTTGGCTAGAGCGACGAAAAGCTTCTCGACTTATAAGAAGACATTGCCAACACAATTGAGCAAAGTCGACAAGAAGATTTGCGAGTTCGTGACGTTTCTGTAAACTGTCGTGACTGCCTAACTTTTGACCTTCAGCGTTCACGAGCTGTGGTGCATTACTAGCAAGGAACGACTCGAGAACTTCCGGAATGCCGCCGTGCACATGTGTGTCGACACTGCCTTTCAAAACCATAGTCAAAGTTTTCAAATCCGTCTTTCTGACGCATTCCTTTTCAATTTCAGCTCGAAGAAGACTGCAACGCTTTTTAATGTCATCCATTGAGTTTTCGATGGGACTTCGTAGTTCTTCGTAACGCAAACATACACGCTGACGATGCAGATGACATGGAAATTCTTGGGCTACCAACAGAAATGTTATTCGTTTCATTTGCTCCCATGTTTTGCCGTAGGCTGATGAACTTCCACGAGTGAAGGGCACTGCAAACTTAAATGCCACTCGCCAGTTGACAAGTTGTGACTTCGTAGCATTCGGAAACGATAACTCGTTCGCAAGAGCTTCCTCCACTGTCGTCACGCGCAGGAAAATAACGTTGGGGTTACTTTCACTGCCGGCCAGTGGCTTTGGCTCTAGCACGACATCGACCCTTTCACATTGTGGGTATTTGGTACGAAGCATCGTTTTCATTTCGGTTATGAACTCACCAAGTGATATGAACTTGCTTCGTTTGTAGATAAACTCGTCTCTGGTGATTAAAGCGGACACACAACCACCTGCATAGCGTACTCGGTAGAACGAAAAAGCTGAGCTGTTGGGCTGACCTCCTCCAGGATCCTGTCTTTCAGCAAGTCGTCCAATTAGTGCTTCAATACATCGGAGCATTTCTCGATATTCATGAAAATTTCGCTGCTGCTTCAAGTGCACAAGCAGAAGCTCACAAATTGATAGTTCTTTTTCAGTCCAGTCGGCTCGTTCTGCATAGCTACGAGCAACAAAAAGCTCACGTACGATCCACTCGTGAAGTCGTGAAGAAGATATCGAATTGCTTCTGACTTGACTTTGCTGTACGCATTCGATGGCCGCCAATTTACAGCAAACAGCTTCCGCAAACGTACCTCGACGCAAGTGAAGACGAAGTAAAGCGTTGAGCCAAATGAGTTTTTCTTCTAAAAGCCAATGTGGGGAAATGTCTCGAACAACACGATCAATTCCTTCCTCGATCTCTTCCACGTCGTGGGCTCCATTAGGGTCTTGAAACGCATTATTCCAGCGTTCATACGCGTGAACTTTGGTTGTCAAATCATTCAAAAGCTCGATAAATTGAAGATGGAAGCCAGACGGAAGACTTGAGCTGCTGTCGCGCAAATTTGTCGCAAATGCACGCATCTCATCTAACATATCTCTCACAGATGATGTGGACATTGTAAACACAAGAGGCTTACTAGGTGATGGGAAAAAACCTGCTGTGAGTACTTTGAGAATCGGTGCTTTCACAAGAAGAAAACTCCCAGTCTGTTCATGGCACACCAACAGCAATTGGCTCAACAAGATTGCTGCATGTCTTCGCACCATGAAATTTTTTGCTGTCGTTGCAATAGCCAAAATCAACTGAGTCCGACATTGGTCATATGGTAGTGGAAGCCCTGGGATTCGAACAGCAAACAAAGGCAACGAAAAGCTCGTTATGAAGGATTGTAAGTACTGCAGTAAAGTGCTAACAAAGCACGATTCTATGTCAACTGTAGCTCTTAATTCATGATCTCGAAGCTGGTGTTCCATCTGAGGATTACTTACATGCTCAACCTCTCCAGCTAAATAACTGATGCTGCTTGATCGGTGCAGCAACTGGAAAAACAGCTCCGTGATGTATCCAAGAAGGACAAGTGCCTGCTTCGTCAATTCAGCTTGTGACGCCGCATTGCCAGCCATAAGAGAGCAATCTGAAGTCTTAAAACAAGGCTTGTAGGCTACTTCTATCGCTCGAATAACGTTTTTGTATTGGTCAACAGCGGTTTGAAGCACTAGAAATGCTGTTTCTGCTACCGCTTGCTGCAGACAAGCGAATTGTTTTCTGTGCCCCCGATCTTGTTCATAGTCAATGTTCTTTGATACTGCTTTCTCTTCATAGCCAGTGCTAAAACCAGTACGTCGCTGCTGAATGCTCGAGTATTGCTTGCTCCAATTACGTGGAAGTGACTTTTGAGTTGGACTTCCATCCATCCCATTTTGAGTTGTTTCACTCATAGTATCAGCAAGATTAGATTTAGGTATTGCTTCCAGTCCACTACCTCCTGCTCGACGATGAAGGCCGTGGCGATTTACAAGACGATTTTCTAGCAGTGACAACCCTGTTTCGCTGTCAGGTGCACCCAAGTCCGGCGAGAGGAGATGATGATAATCTTGTTCATTCGTCCTGTTTGACGACTCAACACTCAAGAATATCTCCAGCAGTCGTTGTATTAAGGCCAGACTAGCATGGACTCTGGCTTCATCATATGCTAAATACTGACCGTCACATGTGTTTTCTGTGTGAACGCCGACCACATTTTCGTTTGAAATGCTTTGATGAGCAGATTTTGACATGTGCTACAATGACATCGTTTGTGTGAGTAATTTCGAGAAAACATCCAAAAAGTGTCATCTTAACTTACTTTCACGACGACGCGGCGATAAAAAGCAAGCGTTTCTGTCACGCCGACTTCCATCTGACGGTCTCCAGTCAAATTCTGACCTTCGTATGAAAGGAAGAAACGTGATAGTTGTGACGTTGACACACTATAGAGAAGGTGGCCAATACACACCATAATCTCTTTTTGAATAGTAAAAACGGACTTGCCTTCACCATTTAATCCATTTGACGAATGACCAGTGATAGGATAACTACTGGACAACACTTTTCCATCTGTCGTGAGTTGAGCAAAGTGATGGAAGAAGGGATAATATAAGAGAGCAATCGTTTCTTGCTGTTCCCGACTTTGGAAGTAAGGATTATATGCTTGTGCTGCAAACATCCTTCTCAACAAGCGCACGCTATCGACTCGTATTGTCTGTTCGCTTTGAGTGTTAATAATTTGCAAAAGTTTCTCAAAAACAGCTTTCACGAGCCATGCTCGGGTTTTCAAGGCACAACTGTCCTCAGCACCATTTACTGTAGGAAAGAATTCAAAGTCTACCAAGATTTGAAGAAATGGAAGCCAAATATGGCGAAGGCTATTTGCATCTCCCTGCACATCAACGTCTTTGACATATCGATCAATGACTCGAGCAGGAAAAACATTTTTGACAACGAGAAACACTCCTCGACAAAAGTACGCAACACTGCGATTGACTTCTTTCTGAAGTAGCAATCCATTAGACGTATCACTAGCACAGACGACGAGTTGATTAAGCAAGCGTTCTAGCATGACCTCGTCATTTCGATTGAGCAGCATTGGTAACATTGTTCTTCCCTTTATTGGACTGTTGCGTTGATCTAGCAAGCTCATGGCCATAGATTTTAAAACAAGTTGCAACAGTACATTCGAATACGTTAGTGATATTCGTCTCGTTTCGGCGTTTTCATCAACCGATGCCTTATTGGTTAGCACGTTAAGCCATGTTTCGAGGAGTGCACCATAAACACAATTACGCTCGGTGTTCGATGAAGTCCTAGAAAACGAATGGATTTCATTGGGATCGTCGATCGATGTTTCGTCGAAGACAACGTGAACAAAATCATGAAGCACTCGATTCATCTCGTGAACCTTTAATGACCCTCGTGGACTCCAACTTGTTTTCTCCATGATGGCAAGCAGAGTACGGAATGCTGACCATCGCACAATTGAGGTCCCATATCGTAGGTATCCGAGTACAAACTTGGCGATCATGAAGAAAAAGAAACGTGCATTTAACGCACTGCTATGGTTGAGATCCCTTAAACGTCGAATGATAATTTCTTCTTTACTATCATAATTAAGTTTTTGATTGCCGTGAAATGGACTTAAAAATGCAGCGACAGCGCTGTCTTGGCTGTGTATTGAGGACACAACCCGACAACGACAAGTAAAAACTGCCTTGTTATTGTCAAGAGCAACATCTCGAGCATTCGCGACATAGCCACTGGAAAGTAAAATAGCTGTTGTCGATGACTTCGTAGTAGCTGGAGCCGGATTCACATTCACCGAATACTTCCCATCTTGTAAAATTGTTCCATCTTTTCCAAAGATTGGAATCACTGCCCACCCAAAAAGTTCCTGCTGTGATTGACTGAACTGCAATTTCTTGCAGTGAACGTGGTAAAATGTGAATAGCAGATGATGGTTTGCGGTCAAACACTCAGGCAGGCAGATCTTGATTTCATCGTCATACTGTGGATTCTTTTGATGGTATCCTACAAGTGCGTATGCTGCACAGCTTATCTGGTTATCAGCTTGATAAATTGCGCGAAGAAAAGCATCATTAGACACTTCATCACCACTCACATGATCAATTTCTCGTTGAAGTAATTGAATGCGAATTGCAATGTTGCGAAAAAGACACTTTTCGAGCTGAAGCGGGTAAACGTATAAAGTGTTCACGTACGAGACAGCCACTGGACCTGAGCCTGTTAGTCCAAATTTTGGAATCAAAGATGAAGTACAAAAGGGCTGGATTTCACGACACACAATCGCTGTGTCTCCTTCGATATTTTCGTTTCTATAAACGTGATTGATACTTTGTTGGCCTGCCTCGGAAAAAGGATCAAGAATGTTCAATCGTGGGTGAGGAGTTGACACTACATTTCCTAGACTCTTGAATTTCGCATCGGCTAATTCTTCTGCTGTAATCGTGTCAACGTCAAACTCACACAAAGCAGGTGTAACTTTTTCTCTAGATTGACAAAAAAGTGTCAGTGTATAGTGATCGTTGTAGTACACATTCCTGTTAAAAACCTACTTAAGGAGACCTCGAATGGCATCTGACATCAGAGAAATTCGTTGCTCTTCCGAGATACATCCTCGCTGCCGAAATAAAGTCATTGATTGCTTGGTGCCTTTCTTTAACGGCATAGTTCCCCATGCAAGTGACTGCTGAAACCTACCTAAACGTACTTCGCAATCAACAGCCTTTTCAACTAGCTTTTGCTGCTCCATTTTCGAGGCAAATTTGACTGGAGTACAGTATGGTGTTGTCGCAATATCTCCGTCGCCTACTAGCACCTTGCTTACTTTCAAAAGCACGTACAAATTCTGCATCTGCAATGTTGGAAGTACATAAACTAAAACTGCAGGAGCAGTTGGAATCTCCTCGTTATTTAGCATTGGACCCGGAATCCGAAAGCAAAACTCTTCGGTAGCTCGAACGCCTAGTGACATGTCATATACTACCAATCTATACAAAAGAGACTCGACCTTCAAATCAAGACATGTAAAATGTAAGGACGTGCAAAAGAAGCAAGAAATAAAAAATTACTTAACTGACCGAGCCAAGAAAAAAACGAATACGTAGCTTGATCAAAAGAGCTTGTGCTTCCGGAACAGCTATGCGTGGCTCTAAGTATGACGATTTTCGAATTTCAGATGCAACCGTGGGTTCGCCTGATGTATACTGAGGTTCGTAGCTCCTCATAAATGAACCCTCTGTCATTCAAATGACGTATCAAGCTTACAGCCTTACAAATATTACATCATGAGACCTACTAATATTATTAGTCGAAGCGGGCAAATTAGGAAGCTGTAAAGTTTTCCATGGCCGCAAGAACTCTTGAAGAATGGGCGCGTCTACAGGGGACGGTGGAGGAAGTGGAAGCGCCATTTCATATCTCCATTCCTTCCTGTTCAGTTCTACCAAATTCAAAGTTCCTGGTGGTATCCCAAACCCCGATTTCAATTCTGCCCATTCGTCAATCGGCGATTGCTTTTCCTCCATCTGCTGGTCACAGCCGATGAAATTGAAGACGTTAGCACTAAACCGACTCGCCGTTCTCTAATCCAAGAAATTGTTCTTGAAAAGACGCCAAATGCAATAAATAACATCGAATACTCCACTCGTGGAGTTTAATACATATAGATAAAACAATATATTCGCTCTCTCTCAAAAGCGTATTAATGTTGCGAAAAAGCTTCACAGCGATGTATATTGCTAAGATTGTGGCAGTGAGATTTGATCATATAGAGAAAAGTCTCGTGGTGGCTATTCAATCCGAGCAAACCAGCAAGGAGGTCATATCTGAACGACAACGATGATGATGGAGAAGTCGCCATGCTCATGACAGTATGCACTGTTTTGGCACATGAAAGGATCAACCCTTGCAGAAATATTCAAGACAGTACCCACACATCGTTGCGTAGCACTTCATCTTTTGTTCACTTTGAACCAGAACTGACGTTTGCCAAGCCGTATTGACAAACTAGCAACACGCACTTCTTTAATCTGCTAAATGCTCAAAACATGTGTGGCGTTGAACATCGCATACTTTTAATCCTAGTATCAAAATAGAAAGACTTTCACATGAATCTTAAAGACAGTATTACGAAATCGCAACATTGGATCCCGAGTGAAAAGAGGCTAATCTTAAACTCGACATTTTAAAAGAAATGTGATCACGTTTCTATCGTGCGAAGGTGCACTGCTGTTTAACACACCACATTATTTGTTCTCGCAACATAACCAAGTGTAAACTCAATGTTGGAATGTTCGACTTCGTAGTTTATGTTTACCGTTGGTTAGTAGAAGAAACCCGAACCGTTCGTATATTACTTTCGTTTGGTTAACTGGTTGAACAAAATATCAACAGTCATTATTCTACCTAATCTTAGCTCTAGTTTCCCTAAAGCCGAGGGCCATGACTGGTAGTTTGTAACTTCTCACGTAAGGTGTTGCTAAGCGGCTCGCTGCAGTGAGTAGCATTTTAGCCACAACAATTTAAGCCGTGAAGAAACTGTGATTCTTGTGAATTTAATGAATTAAAATGTAGACAATCATCCAAACGACTTTTAATACTAGTTCGCTAAAAGATGGCGGGCACCTTCGGAGCTGAGGTCTTGAAGCTCCTGGCCAGTTGTGCAACTAAAATGCTTTGAATTCCTTGACCAGGAGTAGCGCCAGATTATTTAATCACGTTAAGAGCTTGCTCAGGACCAGTATGTCAGAGCCCCATGCGTAACAGGGTACGTACCATAATCGTGTGCACATACACTTCTCTGCTGATATGATTGCACGAAATTTGCAATACCGAAGTGTTAATATTTTTTAAAAATCATAAAGGAGATGTCAGTAGTTGACGTGGTCTGCTAATCGCACGCCAACAAACTCCGTCAATCCAAGGGTAATATAAAAAGTGAAACGCATCGATTTAGCAATTAGTCCGAATCAATCGTAAATGGAGTGAACGAGCTCTTGATTCCCTGCCTGAATGAACGTCCAAAGCTAAACCTCTGTGACATTTGTCTGCGCGAAATCTTTGAGTCGAAACTTGCTCTGTACATAGTGCACGATGGTAGTAATTGTAGCTAATCGCACTACCGAATCGTGAAAATCATGTCGTCTCTACGAATAAAAAATATCAGATGCTAGAGTGCCTTTCCTCGGGACAACTAGTTCAGATAAGTATACTTACGTTGGTTCTTAGTTTTACCTGTATAAAGCGACTGAAAACCTAAGGATTAAATGCGGCATTTGCTTAACTGGAAGCACTTTCCAGCTGTAAATTGCGCTGGTGATGAGCGCTCGCGCCGGGCACCACTAGAAGAAGCGATATAAAGGCGCTAATGTCAACTGTCTAGGACTTTGAGTGCTGGAATGAAGCAAATTTTGCTCTTTGGATGAGGGAGATCGAGATAGCCATGACTGTGGCAATGCTCTAAACGGAGCAGCAGACACTCGCGTTTACGATGTCAAAGCAAGGGGGTCGCACGGAAGAATAGATTCTAACCTTTGTAAAGTCGTAAATTAGGTGATTGCTTCATGGAATGACAGATGTCACGAGTGTTTGCAGCGCCTGATCAGTAGTATCGGGTAAGCTCAAAATTCTTATTCTCTCGTCAAGGGGGTGTTACAAGAAGTGTCGGAATATGGATATGATTTCGGAAGTTTTATCTTCCCAATGGTAATCCCAGAATTAAAAACTCTATTTTCGTGGATGGTCTCCGAATGCGTGTAATTCACTCCAACATCTTCTGCGTCCACTCTTCCTCTGTCAAGGAACACATGTGTCAAATCCAATGCCGCGAGGTTCGGATGAGATAACAAAGGTGCAAGCTTCTTGGGAGTGCGAGTAATGATGAACCACGGCAATGTTGAAATTCTTTAGCTGCTGACAAGCTTCACAGCTCTCGTATATGCTCTATATGTGAGACTAAAAGCATTCACACATAGCCGGCTATCCTAGCTCCGGCAGAGAGATACGAAGGGTCGAGCTCTTGGCAAAGATAAACAACGAGTCAATCGCGGAAAACTATCGGGTTTGAGTAGGCTCCTCACGGATGCCTACTAAAAATATTGCCTCGAGCTGGTCATGCTGAAAGGACTTAACTTTAAAGAAACGATTTTCCCAAAGAACGTTTTGCGCTTACAGCCAGAGGATATTTGGAAATTTGCAAGCGGCGTTTCGAGCTTTGTAAAGCGGTGAATAAAGTATTGATAGACTTTGTAGCATCAAGCAATTGCGCACTACACGCGATGGAGAGAGGTTGCCAGCACGTGAAGTGCTAAACGGATACAATTACCAGTCGGCCTTTGATGGGGACCCTGATAAAAATGTCAGCGTTTGTGCCGTAAGTTATTTGAAGATTAAGGTCTTTTGCAGCGTGGAACGTCATCGTGCCCTGGACTAGGGTTTGAAACATGACTTAATCCTAGGTATGGCGTGGCTGAAACGCCACCAGCCAAGAGTAGACCAAAATAATATGGGTTAGATGCCACACACTTAACTTTTGGCGGAGCTTGGATGAGTCTCGTATTCGCCTCTGCCAGAAAGCAGAAGCACTTTTGGAGCAGGCGCAAAGCTGCAATAGCCTCCATACCGAAGACATGGGATAGTTCGAGATTGTAGCAATAGTATTACTAAACTACTCTGGCGGGACTTAAAAGCCAGGGGCAGTAGCTTGCGAAAGTCATAGGGTAACACAGGCGAAACGGCTATGTGTTCTATGTTTTCCAGTTCTCAAGGTGTTCTTTTGGTGGGACGAAAATAGTTTTAATCTGGTGTCTTCTGTGGCAGGGCTGACCCTGAGGTCAAAGAGGATGGTTCATCCTTGTCACAATGGGATCGTACTGCTGAGTCGTCTCAACAGTGTGACTGAACCATTGAGTGGGGCAGTTAAAGTACATGGACGCGAATGGAGTGATCGAGGCAGTGCTAAAAGTTAGAATCATTTCCTCACTACCTCCGACAGAAGGTTTTAAGGAGTCGGAGAGATAACCTGTAGGGAAGTATGCAAAGAAATGCACGGCAGAAAAGTCACCGAAACGGTAAGGTTGGTACTGGAGGAGGGGCTGAGCTCATTTATCCATCATTACTAACTCGTCATCGAGAACACTAGCAGAGCACAGTGTGAGAATTGGAGCAGCTTTCTTTAAGGCTCCACAAATTTGTTGAAACCTTAGTTTGAGTTTTATCACAATGTGATACTCGAGAACTACCAAGCGTTTACACACGGATAGTGGAATGCGTCATGATATCAGCCGGTATTCCTGAATTTACATATTGTGTCCTACGGCAAAAAAGGGGGCTGTGGAACGCCATTGATGCCTCGTTCCGTGCTGAACACGAATCAGCTTTGGCATGAAAGCGAAATTCTCTCATAATCAACACCAACTTCAGTGTCAGAAAGGCTAACAGTTAGTAGTGAATTGATGATGCTCATAATAAGCTAATTGCAGCCACAACTTTGCGTCAAACGTTTCTTTCAGAAAAAATTGTAAAGCACAGTCGTCTGCACATTATCAAATCGCCTTTACTTGGTTGGTGAATCTTCCCAGCTCTCAGCGCTCAAGATTAACAGCAATGATTCACTCACTGCAGTGAGTTCTCTAAGCTGAACGATCTGTTAGTAGTTTGATACGTCACAAGGACTGTGTAACGCACCAGAAATGGTCCACCATCTGGCAAAGCAGCTGTTCAAGCTACGTCATGACTAGAACATTAAATTCGACGATGCTCTTTTGCAGAGTACGGTGGGTGCAAGTAAAGAGCCACACAAAATCCTAGGCCAAAACTCGATAAATTCAGGACCGTTTAGATTGGCTAGTGCTTTTGTCCTGAAGAGAGTTTAAGAAGTGACGCGAATTATACCGAATGACGAAGTATCACTTTAGTTTCATTAAAAAGAATAACAAATGATGCTGTGATGCAGAGGAAGAAGTCGTCTTCGAAACGTGAGCGGAAGCCGCATGTGCGCCTCGATTTCACTTCTTTGAATTGAAGTCAGCCAATTTATATCGCCTGCGCCGCTTTCGCCTTGCCATCGGCTTTAATTTACTTAAAGTAGATACCGATTGAAATAAATATTTAATTGCATTTGATAGCCACCGGCTCAAAGCGGCAGGAAAATGCGTTTCATTCATGTCAAGAACGTTTGGCAATGAAGTAGACTCATCCCGACATTTGGTTGCGCGTGGTGAAATTTAAGTCATCGCAATATATACAGACCATGCGTTCTTGCGCTTAGCGTTGTCACGACCACATCTCGCGCAGGGTAAGGTAGATAAGCTTTCTTAGTTGCCAAGCATATTTTGAGGCAAAGTGGAATGTGGAGGTGGATGCACTTTCGCTACACCCCTAGCTGAGCTCGCATGCCATGATAGTGGCGTAACATTTTACGAGGCGATATATACAGCGTACGGGTTAGACGCAACATTTGGTGAGCTACTGAAGCTTTGGAAAGCGTGACGTTTAAGAGCACGATAGCCCATCAATCCTAGCGCAT